TTGAAATGAGATCATCATCATCATTCATGAAAATGAGATAGGTTTACGTTAAAGTCATTCAGGTCATTTATATAACAGTTATAATAAGCAAATTAAGCAAAAGGATACTATGCGTATAAAGAAAATTTATAAAAACCCTTCCTCAATTATATAAATTTTATATAAACGTTATCTTCTGAAAATATGAATAATTATTTTCATGGGCATTTTATATAAAACTTATATACACGATATATAAACTTTAGTTAAAATGGTGATTATATAACCGGTATTAATTCCTTATACGTTTGTTAGGAAGGGGAAAGTGAATCATGCTACTAGGGCGGTGCTCCGGGATCGGACAGTGCTAGCATTTTAGGATACTGTTTAAGAGAACCTATTAATGACGTTTACACAGGTTTTGATCACATTTTACATTGTTAACGGCGTTCTCACGATGATCCAACGCGAAAATTCGGCAAAACATAGCGAAATCAGGGCCCCCTGCCCCCCCGGCCCCAATGGCCTCAGAATTTTGGGCTTACTTGCGAAATTGAACCTTCTATAGGTAAAGATGATATCCTGAAAGTTTCATGCTTTCTTCCAGAAATGCACGATTCTGGGAACTTTTTCCCCTTATCCGCCCTACTATATTATGTTGTCGAACAGACGAGAATGCCTGAAAACCACATAGAACTGAATTGAGGCGAAGTGTAAGACACCAGTTAGTGTTTGTTGAAAGAAATTCGTAAGAAAAAAAGAAGAGAAAAAAAGCTTGACGCTAACACGCCCTACAAAATTTTGTAATATTACGCACATTCCTTCCATGCGAGGCTACGGTTTACTAACACTGTCAATGAAAAATTGAGTTATACAATATTTTTAAAATCATTCTTTCCTATTTTTCTTTCACCTATCACGTTAATCAAGATCACACTTCCTCCCTCTCTCCTCCTGGAGAATGACATAATCCGTCTCCGCTCAGGTATGCATCACTAGACAATGCTCTCTTTCATATCGCCCATTGGCCTTGAACTATAACCAAACCAATGAATTTGTTCGAATCTCACTCCACGAATATCAAACTATTTTTTTTTTCCTCTCTTTCTTTCTTTTAAATTTTACTTATTTATTGAAACATAAAATTATTTTTATCCGACTGATTAAATTCAATAATCGGTAGGTAAAGGCCGTTATCTACCCTGAAGCACTTAAAAGGGTTATTATAGATGGCTGGAGTGCGAAACCACGTATCTTCATTCGCGACGTTGCAGATTTCCTGTCATACGGAGTTTTCCTTTGGTAATCTAGCCAACATAACTTCTTGGAAACTTCCTTGATTCTGCCTCTCTCTTAGCAGAATTCTCCGTGTAAATTTCGAGCTTCATAGTTGAATTACTTTTCCTCGAAAAAACAAAATAGGAGCAGATATTTTGTAACATCGCAATGAAGGTAATTGATTTTGCACTTAAGTCGTCGATATAATGTTTGTCATTATGATTTGATCCATGTCTATCCATTAATCGGAAATCGGAAAATTGGTCTTTTAATTTCCCAGTGCACGTTTCCTACTTTCAATTTTGCTCCAAATGTTTTAAAAAATTAGTGGGACAACAAAACGGGTTTTTCATATTGAATAATCAATTGCAAACTTCGCACAGAATCTCATGATACTTTATCCCGTCAATAATTTTAATTCAAACACAGAAATAAAAAACAACATAGCTAAACTTTATAGTATACAAACAAATGACAACGTAATATGTCATTTTTCTAATTTTCTCAAGTTCTGTAATGGTTGTATGATGTCTTCCGGAAATAAATCGTCCAAATCTACTAAGAAAAAGTATGCTGCTAATGGATCACTGAGGCTATATTTATTTTTGCAAAACTCAACGTTGAAAATCTAGCTTTCACATTTTCATGTTTTTCTCTGAAACAAAGCAATAGATAAGTTATTGATATTATTGGAGGAATGACGTTACATGGTGATCTATTTAATGCAAGAACTAAAAAAGACTGCGTGACAAAGTATTTTTTTTTTTTAAAAAAGAAAGAAAGTTGTACTTTTGACAATTGGCAGCTTGGTATTTCATTTTTTTTTAATTAAAAAAATGAAATATGCTCATTAGTAGTGAAAAATCAGTGGACCGTGAACATTTTTTCTATATGATATATAACTTGGTTTATTTACTTCTCAAGTGAAAGTTAATGCTAAGTTCAGGCGACTTCTATCCTTAAAAATAATGACCGACAGCAAGGATGACTTTAAAGAGAACNTGACAACCCCCATTGAGGCAGAGGCTACCAGCTGAGCCGCAGGATTACTAAACCTGTGACAGTTCAATCCTCCATACAGCCTAATATATGTATGGAGGAACAAATAAAGAGAGCACAGTCAGAATCGACTACAAAATTTGATATGACATCTTGATTATTTGATAAGGCCACGTGTGTAGTAAAATTCTGGCTTTTATTTAAGAAATGAGAGCATACATGTTCTCGAAATGTCTTGGAATTCATGCCTCGCACCATCGCGCCTTCAGTTTTGCAGATGCAACACGGACATCCATCGAGCACGAATAGTGGTATCTCTGCGCCGTCATCAATGCGCGTCTTTTCCCTCGCACTAATTCCACGTTGTGTTGGTTCCGTTTGTCTTGTTCGTAATGTTGCCTCAGTATAATTTATATTTCAAAAACAAAATTTGAATCATTAGCCGACTTTACAAATATATGCAATGATTGCGACTCAGGCCATGCTTTAATAAAAAATCAATGTGCAATCAGAGGATATTAATATATTTACAATTTGCAATGATTGCATATACATATATATGTAAAGTCGGCAAATAGCTCAACTTTTGTTTTCGCATTAGCAGCCGGAAACCGAATATTTCAATACGTTTCATAATGTATTTTACAAATTAACAAACACTCAACGTCATTTCTTGAAAACTTCCCTAATTTTTCTCTCCTGTGTGAAAAATAATCCATTAGTTTTCAAACAAAGCGTTAGTTGAATCTCCTTTGATCAAACAAAATTGGATCGGCGATTTAAACACCGCTTTTGAACGTGTTTCGACCCACCATTGATATCTCAATTTATAAATTGTATCGCTTAATTGGACGTATTTCTGCCAAACGGAACTAAGCGCCAATTTGAGTTCCTTTTGAGGAATTTTGAATCCCGGATAGCGCGTTCTATCAAACGGAACTAAGCGCCATGGAAAAGCATTGCGGGTACAAGAACGAATGAGCCCGACGCCCGGTTCCGCCGCCAATCCAAGCCCCCCTCTTCCTTCCTCCCCCTATGGCACTTTGTTCCATTTGACAGAAATACGTACAATTTATTGCGCTGATATCTTTAATTTAATAGACCTATCCAATTTAAGTCAATTGTCAACTAACTTTACCTGCATCCAATCGATACCCATGCTCTTCTTGATCGGCTCGTGGATGCTCCTAAGCTTTGGATTGCTGCCTTGATAGGGGCCGTCGTCGGTGTGGGTGTAATTGAACCGATTTATCTGCCAAACGCCTCCGTGGAAGCCAGCTCTGTAGGTCCACGAATCCTCGCGAACATGCTCTCGGTATAGGCCACAGGACGAGTGAAGTCCCTCATCATCAAGGAACACACGACATCGGCGGATCCTATGGAGCCAGTTCTCACCCGTAAGGACCCGGCTCCAATTGTTATAAATGGACTTTTTACTTGGAATGAAAAAGCCTTTCTAGCATTGACTGTCGAATCCAGACTCAAAAAACGTATACTAAAATTATTAAAATGTGAAACACAGGAAACCATTTTTGTTCTTTTCAAATTTAGATTCACGTGAAATTTGTGTTAAAAAAGATGTACGGAAAAAACGGATATTAAAATCTTTTTAAATTCTAAAAATTACACATATTGATGCTAAACACAAAGTAAATTGCAAAATATGCAGCATAAAAACTTCAATTTTCTGTACGAAAGATATTTTGAAAATTTATGTTACAATTTGCTAAAATGAAAATTTACATTTTTACGTAAAGAGCAACTGCGAGGGTTTCTAACCAGGATATTTGAACGGTTTCTTTAAAAAATCCTCCGCTTTGAAATTTACAAGTTGTTTAGTTTTTTTTTTTTTTTTTTTTTTTTTTTTTTTTTTTAACAGCCAATGCTTTTTAGGGTAGTAAAACTGAAAGAAAGAATAGTTCACACGATCAAGGGCCAAGATAAACGAATCCAAACAGGAGTGAAATACACGACTCCATGCGTGACTCGGAGAACTATACAAAGAGACAAACTTTCTGTTGGATCGATAAATATTCCAGTTAATAATCACCGGACAAGAATTCTCGTTGATTTATCGCAGGAAATCTTCGTGTTTCAAACGATAAGCATTTATTTTATTCCAAAGAGACGTCTCGTCAATTTTGAGAGATTTCTGGTTGAATCAACAAAAATACTCGTCAAGAATTGTTAGCTGGAAATTTTTCTAAATGTATCGACGTTTAAAAAAAATGTGTCACAAGAGTGGAGGGGGGGGGGGGGCAGTGGGGCTCTCCATCACGATGGATGAATTCACTAGAAGTTCAAGAACGATTTGAAGTACACGTTATCTTGACTCGCACGCATAATAGGAAATTTATGAAGTAGGAGTAGTAGTTAAGTAAAGTCCCAAATTTTTATTTAGGGGGGGGGGGGGGTGCACTTCAAGGTCGGTAGACTGTTGTCTGATAATTTGGTGAGATTCGGATATTTATTTTAACGTGAATGAAGTGGCCCTCCTACCTGCTGGGTTACCTCTCACCGCGAACTATTCATATAGAACGGTCTAATGTACCTAAATGATAATCTTCAAGTGGTTCGGCGGTCACTTGAAATAATTAGGCACTTGAGTGCTCGATATCTAAGATGTGACGCGACACGTATAAATTAAGGGTCACGCCGCGGTCTAACCTTCATTGTGCGCTTATTCTTACTTCATATTTCAAAGTTTAAAGAAAGCTCAATTTTCTACTGGTTAGCTAGCAGCTGTCAAAATCATGGAAATCAACGCAAAATATCTCCGGAACGGAAAATCACGAAAAACGAAAATATACATGGCATAATTGAAAAATGTACAATTTCATCACGTATTATTGGAAAATCCAGGTTATTTAAATACTTAGAAAACGAAATTGCAAGGAGATTATTTTCTGTAAATATCCGTAAAAATCACGAGATTTGACCTGATGGATAAATGAACCATGGGAAAATTAAAAAAATTGGGGAATTGAAGAGTTCACATATACCTAATGTGATAGTGATTTTATCTTCATTAACCAGTCCTCCGAACAGACGACATCACATGCTCGTTTTTCCCGTTCAGAGCACAACGATCGTCGACGTAGGGGGCTGCGCCTGCGCTATGAAGTCGGAATTTTCGATTAATAATGGACCCTCCTGTCAAATTTCTTGACTTTACTGTACGTTCAACTTCTAATCCTCAAACACAATTTTCCGCTGGAAGGTAGGTGATGGCGCGGAATTTGATCATAGCTCAGGATCACGACTGAGTTGAAAGCAACAAAATCCTTAGCTTAGCTTTTTTTCGATGATATATATATTAAAAAAAAAAAAAAAAAAAAAAAAAAAAAAAAAAACCCGACAAAAAAAGAGTAGGGAAAAGAATTCCGAGGGAGAAGCAATTATAGCAAAACCTACATGTGCAAATGCATTAGATAAATAATAACCTAATCACTTCTCTTAATTTTTTCCGAGACAAGTAAGTATAGTGGGTTTGATGTAACGCAAAAAAATCAACAACCAGAGGATTTGTAAGTTCAGAAAATTGATTTAGAACCAACTCATCTCTGAAGCAAATTGTGCACAATAATACTGATTCTCTGGGCTGTATGTGGTTTACAGTAATTTTTTAATTTCAAAATTTTCGAATTTTTGGGAGATAATTCATTCCAGCAAAAACGCGTTCGAATGTATTAATCAATTGTATAGTATATCCGCTCCACCCAATATTTTTAGATGAATCATTTTTTATCCCTCACGGGAAAAAAAAAAACACATTGGATCTAGAGTCCAGACTCTTAAATACATAAACAAGAAAAAGTACTCTTGATTCAATCAGAATCCAGCTTAAATCAAGAATCAAGCCTCTTAATTTAAGCGGATTTCGTTTTGATTCAAGTAAAAATCCGATTGAATCAAGAGTATTTTTTCTTGTCAATGTTTTCAAGAGTCTGGACTCTAGGTCCAATGTGTTTTTTTTACCAGTGCTTGATATCATAACCGAGACGTTTTCTTGTTGCAAGGATCACCTATTTCAAAAGAACAGCAGCGAAAATATAGACAACAACATGCCCAAAACACGCAAAGTCATGATTGACGACCGTGGATCCGGTGGCGTCTCCTTCAAGGCTCCACATACTCAGGCAGCTATTCGGCTCAATGCTCTCTATTGCAATTTTCAAATCACTCATCGAGGAAATGCTTATAGTGTCTTCTCGATCTCCGGGAACAGGTTGCGGCGGCGGAATGAACGTATCCCCTTCGTATATAACCCCATCATAGAGTGCGCTGGACGGTCGCTCGTCGGCGTAAGTCCAGTATCCACAAGATTCACCTCTTACGTCGAGCAATCTGATCGTTGTCCCCTTTTTTGATACCTTCAATGTATAGAACCTCTTCTCATCAGCCTCCTTGAGCGTGTCGCTCGTTTCAAATCCCATCTTGAGCATCTGCGGAATGGTTTTCACCCGCCGAGCGATGAGAACTATCTGCTGTTGCAGCGAGTAATACGAGTCTGTCCAGAACTTGTAATCGGATTTATTATTCGCAATTCTGAGGAGCTCCGCGTCGTCAATATCATCGCCGATTCCGAAAGCACACGTTGTGATACCTGAGGACAAACAAATAAAGAGTTCTTCAAATAAATTGAATATAGTAATGGAGATGTTGCATGTGTGAGGGATTTGCGATTTGACCGTTGATTCTAATGTAAAAGTTCGCGAGAAACACGTTGGTGCCACTGGTTCTCTCTGAAATCAACTCCCAAGCTCAAAAAAAGCTCTCAAAGTGAGGCCAAAATGGAAGGGATATCCCACCCTACCCCAAGAGTCCACCTCTACATCAAGACAAACTCTCTATGCAAAGATTGGGAGCAAATACATTAGCAGGGTTGCCGTGTTTTCAGTTTTGGAGTCCCTAAATAAGGTGGCAGCCCTGTCAATGTATTTGTACCCTGTCTTTGCATGGAGAGTTTGTCTTGGTGTAGAGGTGGACTCTCAGGGTGGGGTGGGATATCCCTTCCATTTTGACCTCACTTTGAGAGCTTTTTTTGAGCTTGAAAGTTGATTTCAGAGAAAACCAGTGGCACCATCGTGTTTCTCGCAAATTTTTACTTAAGAATCAACAGTCAAATCGCAAATCCCTCACACATGCAACATCTCCATTGAGGGCCGCCGTTCAAAAAATACGTAGCGCTATGGGGGACGAGAGAACTGAGTCTGCATCACTAGTGCGTTACAGTGGAAAGGAAATGGGTTAAATGTTAATTAGATCGCAGGGTTCTTATTGCGTAGTGAAACTAATTTTGGGCCGGTTTGAGCTATTTGTAACTGGCCACCATCTGAAACGGTTTCTGATGATGACTTCGGGGTTCCACGAAAAGAATTCTTTTTCGCGCTCTCGGACGAGGCATCACAAAGGAGGTATTTCTAATTGGAAAAAAACAGTTGGGTTTCACTGCCCCTCCCCTTTTAAGGGGACGCGACCTGACAATTTTAAGGAAGCCAAAACGTAGCTTCTCTTGATCTTGGAACATTCTCACAGTTACAATTCTTTGTGACATTGGCGGATCCAGCAATTTGGCAACATTGTCTTTCTCCGTTTAAACCTATGAAAATGTATCGATTTTTAAAGGGACCAGGTGCTCGTATAAGAATCGACTATTTAACATAGGTTTGAATGAAGGAAATCCACTGTTGCCAAATTGCTGGATCCGCTTCTGTAATTGCATGTGAGTGGAAATTGAAATCCTGATATCGTTAGGAGACAAAGCTCGGTACCAAATAGTAAATTTTGGTTCATTAACGCACTCCCTATAACTCCCTCAACTACGATTACTACACTGAGAATAATGAAAATGAAACTGTTCTCTTTCGTTATGGTACCTTCTTTGGCAGCTTCCAGCGCTGCGATGCCTGGATCGGGTCCTTGAATGTGACATCCGTCGGTCAAGACGACCAACAGTCTTGGGACACCTCTCTCTGCCCGAGTTTCTGATAAATTTCTAAATTCCTCGATAGCTCCCATCATACCGATGTAAGTATTCGTGCTTTGATTCGGATAAGGTGTCTTTTGAATAGCCTCCTGGAGTCTGGCCGTGGTGAAATTGTTCACCAGCGGAATCAGACCGGTCACCGTGGTCGAGTAGGTGACCATGCCGACGTTGGCTTCCTGAAGGTCGAAGATGCCCACCAAGCGTGCCAAGGAATCGAGGGCTGTCTGAAAAGCGGGCTGGCCTATACTCGCGCTTCCGTCGACGACCAGCATGACGTCTATCTTCCCGCCGGCTGCACACATGTCTTTTTCGAGGAGTTCTTGGGCCCGCTTCTCGAAATCGCCGTGCTTGCCTCCGTTCGTGTTGTAATGGTCTTTCCAGAATATATCTTGACCTTGGATGACTTCAGGAATTGGGCGACCTCCGGATAGCCTTATTAACTCGATGTAAATGCTCGCGGCGAGTCCAGAGTAGAGTGGTTTCAGCATGTCTTCCTCATTTACCTGTGACGATTTATAATTAATTAGACCATTTCGACTACACTTTAAAAAAAAAACTCCGGCTCCGGGAGCCGTAAATACGGGCTATACAGCACTACCGTGCGATGCAGGTGGGGAGACCGTAAGTCCCCATGCAGGAGCCAGAGCAACGGCCTCCAAACCCGTAGCAAGAAGAGCTCCCGGCTCAGAGTCCGATGCTCTGGCTCCTGAATGATAAACTTACGGTCTCCTGACCCTCAACACACGGTAGTGCTACAAGTCCATACTGGAAATGTTGCATGTGTGAGGAATTTTCGATTTGACCGTTGATTCTTATGAAAAAGTTCGCCAGAAACACGATGGTGCCACGGGTTTTCTCTGAAATCAACTCCCAAGCTCAAGAAAAGATCTCAAGTTGAGGCCAAAATGGAGGGGATATCCCACCCTACCCTGAAAGTCCACTTCTATACCAAGACAAACTCTCCATGCAAAGATAGGTAGCAAATAAATTAGCAGGGTTGCCGTGTTTTCAGCATTGGAATCCCTAAATAAAGTGGCAGCCCTGTGAATGTATTTGCTCCCTATCTTTGCATGGAGAGTTTGTCTTGGTGTAGAGGTGGACACTCAGGGTAGGGTCGGATATCCCCTCCATCTTGGCTTCACCTTGAGAGCTTTTTTTGAGCTTGGGAGTTGATTTCAGAGAAAATCAGTGGCACCATCGTGTTTCTCGCGAACTTTTACATAATATCCAAACAGTCAAATCGCAAATTCCTCACACATGTAACTTCTTCATTACGGCTCCTGGAGCCGGATACATTTTGCGATTGGAAAACTACTATTTTTAACAAATTTTAGATACAAGTGTGCCATTGGTTTCCTATGCAAATTGGTGTTTTTATGGATGAGGTATAGAACTATTAGTTCCTTACTGCATAGGTGCGTCCCCTTTATTTAAACAAACATTAAATAAGGAAATTAAGAAAATCTGACATCAATTTTTTTTCTTAAGATGGTCAATGGTCAACTACCAAATTGTTCGTAATATATGGATTGTTATGTGACGTGCATACGTGCTGCCCTTGCCAGCACTACGTTTTAGCCCCCTTTCCCATTTTGCAACAAACATTTGGACTATTTCTTCCTGGAAATGCGTAACATAACGACAAGTCAGTTGCGTTGGTTAAGGAATCGTGTTTTGATTAGATTATCCATAGGGAGAGTACGCACTGCCAAAATATGGAGTTTTTTGGGGTCCAAAATAAGACCCAACCTTTGAAAACGGAAACTGTCATTGCCAATCTTCAGATTCCAATATCGAACCAAAATGGTCAAGAATGTCCATATATATGAGCATTCTTCCGAAAAAATGAGAAAATTTATACAAAAACTAATTCAAATACGTGCTTTACCAACGACAGATCGTAATAATTGTAATAATAAATCACTCAAGATACTCAACGATCAACTCAAGATAATTTGAATTCAATGATTGGCTGCCCTTTTGGGCCCTGAGAGCCCCATCACCTAACTTCAAAAATATTGACATGTCCGTACCTATTCGGTCAATGACCTCAACCACCACAATAGTGACACCCTTGATTTCTTTTACCTTGCCTCAATCAATCAGTTAAACACACGTTTGTACTGGTTACTAAATTTGAAATATTCATCAAAGGAAGGTGAAAGAAACCAAAAGGTGTCACTATAGCGGTGGATGACGTCATACACCAAACTTTTCAAAGCACAATATCTCGATTAATATTGAACGCAGAAAAGTGTCTTTTAGACAGGTATTATTATTTCTAGCTGATCTACAAGAGGCAAGCATCAAAACACGATTCTGTGACCAGCGCATAACTAAACCCTTTGAACGTCCTCTCTCCTGTATAGTACTGCCACGCTGAGGAAAAACCCCGTAAGAGCCCTCAGGCGGTGCCAAATTTTCTATGCCAAAACACAAATTTCTTGGTAAGTTTATAAATACTTGCCTTCCAATTTGATAGTAGTTTTTATTCGCATTCGGCTTGAGTTCCAAGGAAAAACATGGGAAACTTTTCTCAATTATGAAATTTTATCGAAGGAAATTTGGCAACTCCCGAATGCTCATACGGCGTTTTTCCTCAGCACGACACAGTAGGCATTCTGCACATACTACGTCATTACCATAGAGTACATAGAGTCGTAATGTAAGTGGGTGAGCTGGCGCCACTTTTAAGCATTTTCCAGGTCCCGAATTCCGAGACTCCTGTGTGACGCCGGGTCACTTTTTCGATACGAAATCGATCGTTTGCGATACACAGGTACCCGGCCATCCGATGTAAACAAAGAAGATAGGGATCACCACGTATTCCGCACCGCCATTTTGGATCGAATTTGTATCGAAAAAGTGACCCGAACTCGTCGAGCAGAACATGGCGCCAGCTCTCCCATTTACATTACGACTCTATGTACTCTATGGTCATTACCAGTTGCGATATTGTTCACCAACCTGCATCCAGTTGATGCCGAACGTATCATCGATGGCCATATGAATGCGTCTAAGCTGCGGGCTGGTGGCGTTATTGTGAGCGTCGAGTTGGGTCGTCTTGAACCGGTCGAACTGCCATATGCCCCCATTGTAGCCCTCGCGGTAGGTCGCGGGTTCCTCGCCGAACTTGCTCTCGGTGTAGGCCACGCGGCGGAGGAAGTCCCTGTCGTCGGGAAACACACGACTTCGCTGGATCCGATAAATCACCGTTTCCACGACGTCGCGACCGGAGGCCATCGGTTCGAGAGTCCGATCGACTACAAAACCGGTGGCCGTTGCATACATGACAAAAAACCGTACTACTTCAAACATGTTGCAAAGAGACGCGTGAAAACCCAGCTGGTTGACGATAACTAGGAAGGCAGGGGACTGGATCGGGGAGAGAACCGTGTTTCTCAAACCGGGTTGACTGTTGCCAAATAAGTTTCGGAATTTCGAGTACCTATGCCTACGGATTTGAAGAGGCCGTTGGCTTAGGCCGCCGTGAACCATCCATTGAGTCGTTAATATAATGTAAATAATAATCTGTGAGTTATTGAGTGGTTTGTAGTAATACTTGAGTGTTCGAATACTCCGTTCTTGAGATGGTATCGGCAATGGCGGAAAATTACTTTGTTTATTTTAAAATTAAAACTAGTTTGACTCTTGAGTGGGTCTAGCGATTTTTGGTGGTTGAAGGCAGAGAAACACTTCATTCAGAAGGTGGAAAGACTCTCCATTACCATTTCTGGGGGGATGGGCGGGGGGAGGTCATTCCTATAGCTTCAAAGAGGCGATAAGGGGCCTCGGAAGAAAATTGGAAAATGAGACGCCTCGGAAGCAATTTTGAGCACTATGTATGTAAAATTTGTTATATAGCAATACAATTTCGAGGATGACAGAAATGTCACTCAATTATTTCGCAAAATGTCTGAAAAGTTCTGAGGAGGGCTGATGTAGAATGCGAAATAATGTCTTCCTCATTTCGCCCATATGATCGAACGCACTAAGTCTAGCAGGAAGAACCCAATGACATTCAATTTAAATTTTGCAACTTTCAAAGTTGTTTCATTGACTTTGTTTTATTTCTTGTTACTTATTTCATAAATCTTTTTCCTAGAAAGTATTTCACCCTTACTATGCGTATTTCAAAGAATTTCTTCACTGCTTCGCATAAGTATTCTTTTGCACTATTAATTGACGGCGCGTATTATGTTTGATTGTAGAATAAGCGAATCATTTCATTTGTGATTGTTGGATATCTAAATGGTCTCAAACACTCTTGCTTCAATCTCCTACCGATGGTCGACTGATTTAGGAGTTTGGGTTGTAGCCGAGTGCTAGAAATAATGCAAAAAATGTTTTCAAAAAACACTTACATTTTATTCATAAATTTGTACCGAAGCTTTTCGAAGCGAACGCCCACAAATTTATTAATAAAATGTAAGTGTTTTTTGAAAACATTTTTTGCATTATTTCTAGCACTCGGCTACAACCCAAACTCCTACATACATATATTTAGTGCTACTACCTTCAGACATCGCATTACAATGTTCGCTGACTTTGGTCTGATTTAATTCTCACCAGTTGCACAAAAAAAGCACAAAGTAGCTCAGACATACTATTCGTTGATGAAAAAAACTGCTTCGAATATTCTACAAATGTTGAAATATAAATACATTCAAAGAAATTTAACAAAACTTACAACC